GTACAGATCTTGTTTCATTTTTCTGCAAATGGATCTCCAGTTTTACCAGCACCGTTTATTAAACAAACATTCTCTTCCCCATTGAATGGATTTCAGCCCTTTGTCAAAGATCAGCTGACCATATGTCGATGAAGCTGTTTCTGGGTTCTCATTTCTATTCCATTGGACTGTGTGTCTGTTATTGTACCAATACCAGGCAGTTTTGACTACTGTGGCTGTATAGTAGTAGGTTTTGAGAAGGGCTGAAAATCTTAATGGAAGCAGATTGCCTCATCTTCCTCCCATGGAGCATCTGGTGAGTTTGAATCACTGACCTTCTGGTTAGCAGCCAAAAATATTACCCAATAGGACACAAGAGCTTCTTGCAAAGAGGCACCATGCTAGGATAATTGCACAGGGCCAAGATGCAGGAGCAAAGGGCAATTAGGACAGAGTTACGGCTTGGCACAGATCCACTCAGAAATGTGGAAAGGGCACTTATAGGTCAGGCATGCTCAGAGAGACTGGATCAGCCATAGGAGAGATCTCTCTCCTCCTCGCAGCCCGTTGCTGGGTCGAGCCAGGTGTCACAGTCCAGGGGCTGGGATCAGGGAGGCCCATCTGTTGCCTGCATTTCTCTCAGCTGCTCAGCAGCACATTCTAATGTTTTCCATCCTCTCTGGGAAGGATGGCTTGGGCATTTGTTGGTACATGTCCTGGGTGAAGGCCAAGGACGTTGAGTACAGCATGGCGGCTGCACATCAGGAGGAAGGCCCACTGCCATGTGTCACCAAGGAACAAGGTCCCCAAACCTCCACACCCCACTCTTCGGGGCTGCACTTTCCCACCTCACCTGTTTGAAAACACCTGAGTGGTTCCACCACTGTGAGCACGATTTTGTAAATGAATGTCCCCCGATACTCTGTGGGGGGCTGCTTTGCTGAATGTCCTCCCGTTCCCACAACTGGCCCTGCTGGTGTCCCTGCCCCCAAGTGCTGGGTCTGTTTTTCACATCAAGGCAGAGGAATGATTTCTCAGAAGCGCTGTTGCCTCCAAGCAAGGGTGAGAACACAGCCTCGAGCCAGGTACACGAGCCTGCACCTGTGACCTTGGGCAAGGTGCTTTGCCTTTGAGGCAGTTTCCTCAGCTGTGAAGTGGGGGTGGGGGCAGCTCGTCGCCCTCGGGGGGTTGTGAGGGGCCCAACCTGCAGCACCTTCACAGCACCCCTCTGAGCGGGCCCCCTTTCCTGCTCTTCTGTGTACCGCTGGCTAAGATTTCAGATGGCAGCAGGGCTGGCTGAGCAGCGATGGCGAATGTCTCAGCAGGGTCCCATGAAGTCGGCCTCTACGTGCTAAGCCCGCGGCATCTGTGCAAATCCCAGAGGTAGACATCTCTGCTTTCCCATTTCCTGCTGCTTTGCCCAAGGTCACAGGGAGGAAGTTGAAGGTCATAGAACTCTGTGGACAGTTCACCAGGCATGTTCTTTGCAGCCAAGTTTCTTACATGCTCAGTGTACTGCAAACATGTTCATTTCAAATACTGCTCTGGTCAACCTGATACCTGCAAGTCAGTGGTCCTCACTTGGCTGCACATCGGAATGACTTGTGGAGCCTCACACACTAGCGATGTCAGCGCTCTGGCCGCAGGGCTCCTGGGTTAACTGGTGAGGAGCCACCCGGGGGTTAGTTCAAACTTCCTGGGGGATTCTGATGTGCACCCGGGATTGAGAGCAGCAGCTCCCGATACTTGGGAAGCAAGACATTCTTGCGAATCAGTGGACAGTCAGCCGGAAAAGCACCCACAGTAGCAGCATAACAATTGCCGGGGGGTCTAGATCCGGCTCAGGCAGTCCGTGCTCTTCACTGTCCCGCCCCGACTGTGGGTCCGACTGCTCCTGGCTGGGCCACCCTGTGCAGCTCCGGCCTCCAGGGCCATGATGGTCTTGGAGGGGAACACTCCTGGGAGTCTCAAACCCAAATGAGCTCCCTGTAGTCTTCTTCCAAAACTCACACCGAGCATGGGGGCTGTGCCACACCGGGCCCCCGCCCGGGGTCCACGCCAAGCACGGGGGCAGTGCCACACCGTGCCCCCACCCAGGGTCCATGCCGAGCATGGGGGCAGTGCCAGACCGTGCCCCTGCCCGGGGTCCACACCGAGGCTGTGCCAGACCATGCCCCTGCCCGGGGTCCACGCCGAGCATGGGGGCTGTGTCAGACCGTGCCCCTGCCCAGGGTCCCCGGGGGTTTGGAACCTGAGGGAAGTGTGCTTTCATGTAATGTGTGTATGTTTTTCATCAAGCTCTACCTTCAGAAACTGGCTTCCAAGACAAAGAAAAGGAAGTGAACTTGTTTGAACAAAAGAAGTTTCTCTTCCTTCAAGCCACGCCAGCCTGTAAGCCTTCATAAGTAGTGAAGGCGGGCCCTTCCCTCCCTGACAGGACTGATAGATCAGCGTTAGCAGAGTGGCTCCCTGTTGGGACGGAGGGTGTGCACTCTGGCTGGGAACCTGCCGGGAGAGCTCTCTGCTGTCTACATCAGAGCCCCAGGACATACAGAAATTTCCTGAAGGGCCCAACCCACCGCCATGAGGGGCTGCCCGCGGAGACTCGGCCGCCTGGGCCAGGCTGTCCAGTGGCCCTTGCTTTTGGCCCTGCTGGTCTTCTTCCTCTTCACTCTGCCCTCCTTCGTTAAGGAACCTGACAGAAAGCCTTCCAGGTATGCTCTGCACCCTTCCAAGTTCCTCCTACTTCACTAGGGCAAACTGTGGCCAGGGGGAACTCTGTCCATGTGGGGATGCCAGGGGTCAGGAATGTGGTCAGGAGCCACTGGGAAGGGAGACCAAAAGTAGACTTGGGTGAAAGAGAAGTAGAGGAAGCCGGGTGCCCAGAGACCGTCAGGCTTGGGAAGAGTAGAAACGGAGGCGGGGTCTGAGAGGGCCTGGGGAGGAACTAGCAGTTTGCCCCTCTGGGACCGTGAGTAATAAGACTGTGGGGCTAGTTCTCACATGCCATGCCCTCTACCTTACAGGGAAGGGAAGACATACCCTGTGTGTTCCATTCATGTCAAAGTCACACTCACCCCCAAAAGTTTGTCAGTGATATGAGCACACTCCCCTTCAGGGAGCAGCTTAAATCCTGGGCCCCGGTGAAATCTTCAAAGGGCCTTCTGAACCACTTACCAAATAAACACATCCCCAGCAAGAAAGGACCCTTCTCTTTCCTCAGTTTGTTTCTTTTGACTTTCTTCCACTGTTCTTGAAACTTGGAAGTAATATATGCTCCCATATAGTGGAATGATGAAGCGAGAAGCGATCGTCTCCTCAGTGCCCCCGTCAGGGCTTCATTGTCCCATCATCCTGTGTCCCCATTGTGCTGACACTTCTGTGGCACACACCGTGTGCCAGACACTCTAGTAAACACCCTGTGTACTTAATTCATTTAACTCTCATTGTTATGGGGCACTGTGACACAGAGAGCGTAAGTCAGTCACCCAAGGTCACATCCCGAGCCAGTGGCAGGGCCAGGACTCAAACCCAGCCATTTGAACCCAGAATCTGTGTCCACTGCCTTTATGCTACACAAGCCCTTACAACGTGTGTGTCATAGCAACCCTACAGAACAAAGTGCTCAACAGGATTGAGTTCTACTGTTCCATGGGCTGACTTTCCTCTGGTGGCATAGTGCCTAAGGCATGTGACTGCTAACCAGAAGGCTGGCGGTTCAAACCCACCAGCTACTCCTCGGAAGGAAGACTGGGCAATCTATTCCATAGAGATACCGCCTTGAAACCCAAGGAGGGATCACTATGAGTTGGAATCACCTCGATGGCAGAGTTTGGTTTTTTATATCCTGGACAGCTTTGATGGCATAGTGGTTAAAGCATTCGGCTGCTAACCAAAAGGTCAGCAGTTCAAACCCACCAGCTGTCCTGCAAGAGAAAGGTGAGGCAGTGTGCCTCTGGAAAGATTTGCAGCCTTGGAAGCCCTGTCGAGTGCTTCTGCTCTGCTCTGGAGGGTTGCTGTGAGTTGGAATCAACCCGATGGCAGTGGGTTTGCTGGTTTTGGTTTTATATCATGGACATCTTTCCATGCTGGGCCATAGACTTACCCCTCTTTTTAACGGCTGCGTAGTATGCTTTAGAGTGGGTTTCCTGTATTTAAGCAAGCCCTATTGATCAGCCCTGGGTGGCCACTGGTTCTTCACATCACCTTGTGCACCGTGAGGGTTTCCGTAGGGTAGGTGTCCAGAAGTGAAATTGCCGAGACAATGGGTCTGTTCACATTGCATGTTGATGGCGACCATCCATCCAGTTGTCCTCCGAAAGGCCTATAGCAACAGGTGTGACCGTTAACTCTCTCCCCTCCTGTGCCAAGAAGGAATGTCGTCCATGTTTCTGAGCTTTACTGGAAGTGTGTTCCTCTTTTTAATTTGCATTTCTCAGGCCACTGGTGAACTGGGGAATCTTCTCAAGTTCATTAAGTATTTTTAATATGAATGACCTGTTTGTATCTTTGGCTCTTTTAAACTATTACATTTATCTGATGTGTGGGAATTTATTTTTAATATTAGGGATATTAGTCCTCCCTGGCAGGAAGGTTAGGCAATTTACTCCCACAGTGATACCACCTCGGAAACCCAAGGAGGGGTCGCTGTGAGTACGATCCGAGTCCATGGCAGTGAGTTTGGTTTTTTTTTTTTTTTTTTTGAGTGTATGATATATATTACAAAATTTCAAATATTTTCTCCAGTCTATTTTTTTTACTTTGTTTATGGTATCTTGTCATAAAGAGGTAATTTCTATGTTGTTGTTGTTGTTGTTATTGTTGTTATGTGCCGCCAAGTCGGACCCAACTCATAGCGACCCCTCCTTGGGTTTCCAAGACAGTATCACTATGGAAGTAGATTGCCCCATCTACCTTCCAAGGGGTGGCTGGTGGGTTTGAACCGCCAGTCTTCTGGTTAGCAGTCAAGTGCCTTAGGCACTACGCTACCAGACAATTTTTCTATATTTTCCTTTATAACAATTTTTAGGAAGGCTGTCCCTTCCCAAAGAAGCTCAGTGGCACAAATGTTAAGCACACAGGTGCTAACTAAGAGGTCATCGGTTCAAACCCACCAGCCGCTCGGTGGGAGAAAGAGGCAGTTAGCTTATGTGAAGACTGACCGCCTTGAAAACCCTATGGGGGCAGTTTGACTCTGTCCTCTAGGGGCGCTGTGATCAGAATTGACTCAGCGGCAGACACAACAACATCCCGTCTCAAAATTATACAAATTGTCTTCTATAATATTTGCATAGTTTTGTTCTTTAAGCCCAAATATTTAATCTACATGAATTTTATTTTTGTGTCTGGTGTGAATTTGTTAGAACTCTTGATTGCAACTGGCAGAAATCCCATTCACTCCAGTTTAAGTCAAACAAGGAGAGAAGCCGGAGGAGTACAGTGTCCCCAAGAGCCCCGTGGGGCGGGCGCCGGCTGTGGGAGAAGCACTCCGTGGCCCGCCTGCCACTCCCTCCCCAGCGAGGCCTATGCCCTGGAGTTACGGGTGGAGGTAAACAGACTGGCACCTGTTTCTGGTCTAGACATTTCTGAAGGCAGTGGGCCACTATGGGCATACCTCACAGTGCCACGTGATGCGTCTGGTAGAAGATGGGGTCTGCCCTTTCCCACATCGTCACGGCCCAGGAGCCTATGAGAGAGAGGCTCTCACTTCCTGGGGTCCCGTGGAGGGGCCTGAGCCCAAGGCCCAGCTAGGTGCTGGGACCAAGTGAAGGTGCACCCATCCAGAAAAGTGGGGACATTGACTGATGTGGGGGGAGGGGGCAGCAGGAGACATGGTCCAGGAAGGACCACCTGGAGGGGTGAGCCCCGCCCCCCACTGAAACCACACTTACTGATGGTGCCGACAGCCATGTCCTAGTGGTCCCCAGCAGGACACAGGGGCCGAGTGAACATCAGTGTGAGCAGAGACACCCCCCTACCCCTTCCCAGACGGGAGGTCACTTAAGAATACCGGAAGAGCCAGACTTTGCAAAGGGAGGAGACCTTGTCTTGGTGCCAGGCCATGCTTCTCAGGACCCCTCCTTCCAGCTCCCCCAAGCCCCCAGCCCCAGCGCACGGTCCTCGCATTCAGAGTCCTGCCTGGGGCCTGGCTGAGGAGGCATGGGAGGAGAGCACTGAGTCAGCTGGGAAGCCTGGAGCTTTAAGGCAGATTAAAATGAGTTACGTGTGTGTGCGTGTGTGTGTGTGTGTGTCTTTCTGATGATTTTCTGTAGACTGGGTTTTAACCATCTAAAGTGACTGCAGTTAGGAAATGTGCCCAAGACACGGTTGAAGGAGCGGAGGGGCCGGCTCGGACGCCCTACGCTGCTGCTGACCTGACTGAGCCCCAGACGCGTGCCAGAGCGTGAGTGCCGGCAGGAGACAGGCCCTGGGAGGAAAGGGTTTCGTGTCTGGTGAAGGCTTCAAAGGGAACATGGAAGGTGAGGGACAGGCGCTGGTGTGCAGAGCAGCCCAAGCCGGGAAGCCGACCTCAGAGGAGGGTGTGAGCCTTGCCAAGCCCGGAGGATGGGCTTCCCAAAACCAAAGCCTGACCTGGGGTGCCTGGAAGGGCGTTTAGGATGAGCAGGGCAGTAGGGTGCTGTTGAAGGCTTTTAAGCAGGGTGGTGGCCTCAGGAAAGTGGTGTTTTAAGACAATTAGGCTGTGACCTCAACAGGCTGGATTGGAGGGAGGTGTGAGGGCAGTCCGGGTGGCGGATAGGCATGTTTCACGTGCAGTTTCTCCTGCTGGAATGGAAAGAGGAGGTGGGCCAGCACTGTCTGAGGGGGACCCCGAGGACCTGGCCTAGGATAGTGACAGTGGAAAAAGGAAGACTTGGGGAAGCAAGAGATAGTGTGAGAAGGAGGGTGGAAGAGAGCGGCGGAAGTGACAGGGTTACACCCTGGGCTGCCTGGGCAGAGCGGGGCTGGCAAATCAGAAACAAAACGGATTTGTAAGTGTCGACACCGTCTGTAGTTTATCACGCGCAGCGGTCATTGCCATAGGGCTTTGGCGCCCTCACGACCTGCCATTGTCACTCCAGCGCTGCACACTTCCAGGTTCTAAACGCCCTGGCCCTCGTCCAGATTGGCACCGCTTTTCTTTTCCAAAAATGAAGACCGTGAGGCCCAAAAAGCTTACGCCTAACTCCACCCAACCACAGTCGCAGAGCAGATGTTCAGACCTC